AACATGACCAAAGGCGGTTATCTCGTGGTCCAGGCTTTACTAAATATTTAGAGAAAGTACGTTAAAATATGAATAAAACTGCTTTTGCCAGCACACCATGGATCCGATTGTGAAGCATTGAAGTGCGGATGTGTGTGTGTAATATAATTTTTAAATGATTAGCAATTATTCCCATAGACACAGCCCACTGAGTTTCTCACCGGATCTTCTAAGTGGGTCGCGTTTCTGATCTGGTGGTAGATTCTGCGAAGCACTGCTCTTGCTAAGGCCAGTGTTAACAACACCTCCGGTTTGGCTCTCAAGGCTATCAGCATAGGTAGGCAAAAAAACAATTATTTTAGTAAACATTCTGATGGTGTTATCACAAAAAGTTGATCGACATTTATTTCTTAGTAAACACTGTATCTAATACTAGAAATATTTCCTATTATGAAATTGGTAGCCCTATAACTGCATCAATCTTCGCGAGCGTCAGTGTCGGTTCGGTCGCGCCCCTTGCGATTAATCACAGGGGCGAAGCGTTTTCGATTAGCGTCGTGAACTAAGAAAATAAATAAAAAAAAAAAACTTGTTCCAATTACGTACCGACCGGTACGGATCATTTGTTTAGGACGCGACGCGGCTGTTGAAGGGTTAAACGTTACGCGTGCGGATTGACGATGTACCAATGCTCTGTCTCAAGCTCTTGCTGTTTCATTTTGGGCATTGCTTAAAATGTTCAACGGTTTCATTTCCGCAAGCACGCTTAGTCTTCTTCTTCTTTCTAGCGTTTTCTCGGTCTAGTGCCAGAGTCGGCTTTCTTAAGCTCCTTAGTTAGCTGGGTCTCCGGCATCCTTCTGGGTGAGGTTGTTCTCCGCCACGTCATACATATATTAGTACCTTTACGAGTGCGGATTGACGATGTACCAATGCTCTGTCTCAAGCTCTTACTGTTTCATTTTGGGCACTGTTTAAAACGTGCAACGGTTTTATTTCCGTAATCACGCTTAGTCTTCTTCTTCTTGTTCCTAGCGTTTTCTCGGTCTAGGGCCAGAGTCGGCTTTCTTAAGCTCCTTAGTTTGCTGGGTCTCTGACATCCTTCTGGGTGAGGTGGTTCTCCGGCATGTCATACATATATCAGTACCTTCACGAAATGTTTGATATTTATGCACAATACGTTCGTTCCCATGTGTTCATGACCAATGAACAACCCCGGTATGTTGAGAGAAGGAATTTACAGAAACATGCTTCGCGTCCTCTTGTCTGAATTCGTTCGTTACCTTCACAACACCTACGGAAACGAAGCAGTTTTGCATTCTAGACCACCATAATCCTTTTCATCTTTAACAAGCAAGTATATGGCAAAGGCATCACGTAAAGCAAAGGTATCGGAAATCGCATGGCACGAAGACCACGGAATTCCTAACAACATAACATTAAAACATCACCAATGGTTTTTGCTAATGTATTTGCACGCTATATAAGATATTTGCTAGCACACATGGCCACGGTGTTGATGGCCTCACTCAATTTGAACTCCATAAACCTACAGGCATCTACAGCGTTTGCTTTATTTATCAAATAAATAGTGTCCGTTTCCGTCGATTACGTTTCGCGGTGATGTCATGAATAATAAATAGTCGGGAGACGTCTTAGAATCGACGCAAGCATCGTCACTAAGGTGATTAGCTAAAGCAACGGTAAAAGTTTCACAATGCTAAAGAGACACACACCGTTATTCATGATTCGCAAACCGTGACCCGAATGTACGTGAACCGGAAACAGGAAACGTCAAATGGAGTTCTGTTGTCGCCCAGTCCAGTTCTTAACGCTAAGTGCCCCGATGTAATTGTACAATGCAAACAGAATGTTTGATCGTACGTAGCGCCGTGCCTTTCCCGTGGTTTGTTTAAAGTTGTCGTGGGACGTTCTTACCAGAAAATCATTCGGTTCACGATGATTTTTATGTATTTTATAAAACAAAATTTAACATTCTAACCAGCAATTTGTATTGAAGGGTTATTTATCAATTTATCTGACGTAAGTAAATACTGGTGGTAGGACCTCTTGTGAGTCCGCACGGGTAGGTACCACCACCCCGCCTATTTCTGCCGTGAAGCAGTAATGCGTTTCGGTTTGAAGGGTGGAGCAGCCGTTTTAACTATACTGAGACCTTAGAACTTATATTTCAAGGTGGGTGGCGCATTTACGTTGTAGATGTCTATGGGCTCTAATAACCACTTAGCACCAGGGCTGTAAGCTCGTCCACCAATCTAAGCAATAAAAAAAAAAACGATAAAAAAATCAACTTAATGTGTGGCCCTTGTTCTTAGACTTGTCAGGTCGACGGGCCATTTCTGTTTATGTAACGGGAAAAGCTATTTGATTTTAGACCTTACACGCATCGAAATTGTCCACAAATATTGTAGATAAATAATTTGTGACCAAATAATTAACTATTTATTTAGGAGTGAAACACTTAGGAATCTATTACGTTAAATTTGAATAATATTACACATAAATGTAATATCATTGAGGAAAGTTTAATTTTGAAGCCATTAACGGACAAGCAACATCTAACTGTATTGATATTAACATCTTACAACTTAACATCAGGTGGGCTGTGAGCTCGTCCATCCATCTAAGCAATAAAAAAAATAAAAAAATCGAAATAAACAAACGCTGCTAATAAATATGATGTAAGAATAATATTTGGCATGGCTCACGCCGCGACTAGATTCAGCCAATAGGGCATCAAATGTCGAGTTTGAACGTAATATGGCTTTTACGCGATGCATTTAAATGACGGAAATCAGCATAATTATTGGCAACGACACGCCTTTCGCAGCGGGAGTTACGTACAAGCGAATAACGACCTTATTAACATCGGTTTTTTTTTATCTTCTTCCTGTGCGCTATCGTTTGAACAATTATTTTGTGACAATCTATAAACATCGTTCGTGGCGGTTTTAGTAAACGTGAAATAGTTTTTTTTTATTATTCCTTTTCCATTTATATTAATTTTAATGTTTTCCAGACTAAATTTACATTCCAACCTTTAGCTCAATTGACGTTTAATCATTATTATTACTGGCTTATTACTTATTGTACTGGTGGTAGGACCTCTTGTGAGTCCGCACGGGTAGGTACCACCGCTCTGCCTATTTCTGCCGTCGAGCAGTAATGCGTTTCGGTTTGAAGGGTGGTTTGGTTTTTTGTAATTTTTTCGTTTTTTGTTTTTTGTAAAAAAATTTTTTTTTTTTTTTTAGTTTAGTTTATTCTTTACAGTAAGCTGTCGTAACCGTAGACATTCAACCGTAGTTTTGATAAAAATTTGTAAATATTAGATTTTTTTAAATACTCATTTGTACAAGATGTATTATAACGTAACATTTATTGTAATATTGAAATGCCCGGAGCGAGCAACTCATTCCCACTTTGTGCAATCTTCTAAATAATCAAAGTAATAAGATAATAACTTCTATCGAAGTTAACTAGCCGACATTATTCTACAAGTACAGGGCGTAATACATTATTAATGAACAAATTAATATTCAGTCGTATTGTGTGCAACCGTGCGTAAGACGGTGACCACGTGCGCCCGCATACGAAGAAAACAATGAAACTGCATTACTTCAAGTTAATTTAAAAATTTCAACTATCAAATAATGTTTTCGATATGCGACAAAGGTAACATTTAAAATATATATTTTTTATTGCATATTTGGGTGGACAAGCTCACGGCCCACCTGGTGTTAAGTGGTTACCGGAGCCAATAGACATCTACAACGTAATGCCGCCACCCATCTTGAGATATAAGTTCTAAGGTCTCAGTATAGTTACAACGGCTGCTCCGCCCTTCAAACCTAAACAGATTACTGCGTCACGGCATAAATAGGCAAGATGGTGGTACCTACGTATACGGCCTCACAAGATGTCCTACCACTATTAGAGGTTGAAATACCATATTGATTGTATCTTTAAAACCGAAACGCATGACTGCTTTTTAGCAGAAAAAGCCACCAGCAGCAGCAGTATTGACGTGTGGAGTTTTGAAATTACTAGGCACGATATTAAGTTCCCTTTTGTGCAATCAAATCTTAGATAAATATTATAAAGAGGAAAGATTTGTTTGTTTGTTTGTTTCGAATAGGCTCCGAAACTACTGGACCGATTTGAAAAATTCTTTTTCCATTAGAAGCCGACATTGTCCCTGATGAACATAGGCTACTTTTTAAAAAAAAAAAAAATATTTTATTTTTTTGGTTTCATGTGTGTTTTAATGTTTCCGAAGCGAAGCGAGGGCGGGTCGCTAGTCTTAGATAAATATATTCTTTGCACTAATGCGCCGTCTAAATTAGTAGTAAAATTAAATGTGTTTTTTTTTACTACCATCAAGAATGACTACATATTGTAGGTATTGGCTGGCAATTACTGGCTTATTGGTCATAAATCCTTTAAGTACTAAAAAAAAAGTTCTGATGTTTGCGTTTTGTTTTACCAACGAAGCGGAATGAAGCTTATAAATTACTAGCTTTTGCCCGCGACTTCGTCCGCGTGGAATAGTTACTTTGGCATAACGCTAAATTTTACCCGACTTACGTAGAAAGTGAAAATATTTTTGAATAATAGAATGTTAAAGAGTTATTTAAGGTACCAAAGTCACGTTTTTTAACCGACTTCAAAAGAGACTCTCATACGTTAGACAGACACAGATACAGAGAAGACTCTCATGCATTACTTTAGCGAAACTTTAACCGTTTCCGCAGCGCACGCAGTGGAAGCTCTCAAAAGGGATTAAAACCCCGATTTTGAAACATTTTTTATTGGTGCTCCGCTTGCATTGGGCTTAGCGTGATGTTATATAGCCTATAGCCATCCTCGATAAATGGGCTATCTAACACTGAAAGAATTTTTCAAATCAGACCATTAGCTCCTGAGATTAACGCGTTCAAACAAACAAACTCTTCAGCTTATATTCACTTATCATTATCATTAATTGTTTTATTCTGTTGTTGCAGCTTTACGAGATCAGCGATGATCCGCAGCGGAAGGAATTCTTGGACGATCTGTTTTCGTTCATGCAGAAACGTGGTGAGTGTGTTTCATGAAATACTTTTTATTAGACGACGATACAGAGCCCGTATCTCAACAAAAATATGTTTCTTTGTCTATGGTTACGTAAAACTATTTTTAGCATTCTCTGTAAACTAGCCGAGGCGTTTTTGTGAAAAAAAAAACAAGGTTTTTTATATTATTGACACTACTCAGTTACCTCTGAATACCAGGTGGGCTGTGAGATCGTCCAACCATCTAAGTAATAAAGAAAAAAAAAACAACGAAATCCCAAGTTTAACTGTATAGGCTTACAGCAATATAGAAAACCCATCAGTAAATATAGCTTTACTGTCGCTATTAGAGCTATTAATGTCTATCGACGAAAGGTGAATGGCAATGCTAATAGGGACCAGATCCCCTCAAGATCTGTTGTCATCTACTGTTTATTAAAGGCTCGTTGATGCAAATTTGAGCATCTAAACTTTCATTTTCTAGACTGCGTTTGATTAATCCCATGTACCAATTGATATTCGTCGTAATTTATCACGAGTCTAAATGCTTCATTCACGATCGTCGATCGAAGTGATAGGACCCCCCAGTTAGGTGAGACCCCTAATTTGAATAAAGGAGAGCCGTTCAAAGAGTTCTTGTTCGCCGGCTATCGATATAAATCGGATGTGGGGTTATATCATTCATTCGATGTATAAACGATTTTATATTGTGGATCGCTCGATAAGATCTCGGATGATGAACGAGCCGGACCACGCCGGTAGAACTATGAGCTATTAATGAATAGATTTATTGTGAACCGATTCTGATAACGTGGGATTATCCTGCTACTTGCCTGAGCGATTGGTCTAGCGGTCTGTTGTGGCAATGACGCAATTGTGGCATATTAAAAAAAAGATGGGTGGTGTCGTGGGACACCGGATAGGAACGAAGTTCCTTATTATAAAAATATTAATTTTAAGTTCTATTCGAAGTATAAAGAAAATAAAACTGGAGGTTTCACAACAACCCACGGTCATTCGGTAACGTGCGAACTTATTGTGGTACACTTCATTCACGGTTGTTTGCATAAGAGTTAGTGTATTGCGCAAACGAACGCTCTGAGATCGTGGTCAATGACTGATAAAAAAATATGCTATTTTTTGTATGTTATTACAAAGTTAAGTCGTACACTGTGGGCATTGCTAATAAAAATCTTACGTCACGGACGTTTTTTCCCGGTTAGGGTACCCCTCCGCATCGTCCCATAAGGAAGTTCGTTCCAAAAAAAAACTTTTTATATTGTCAAATAAAATTTATCAATCAAATATCGGGTAAAATTCTTTAATTATAATTAACAGTTGCCGAAGCCGAATAATAATAATAATAGCCGTTGCCTTTGTCCAGCAGTGGGCAGATAAAGGCTGATGATGATGATGATGATGATGAAGCCGAATAAGGAACATTATTACTACTTAAAATTGGTCTTATAAATATTATCGATAAATTATAGTTCTTTTAAAATTATAAATCTATAAGTTCGAGTCATTAATAAATCGTTTTTTTATGAATATAACACACTTCCTTCGCTGATTCCGTCGGTTTTTACAACTACAGTCGCGACAGCTACAAATATCTTTGTTTTAGGAAACGCACAAGCGTTGCATATAGATTTGTCATATAAAAATCATTTTAATGACTCTAATTACTAATTGTTTCTAAAGCTTAACGTACCAGTATCACGCGATGTAATTACGCTCTTATTAATTTACGCTATAGAAGCGTTACATATGAAACGACTGTGGGAATTCGCTAGTTGATCTCCATACGCTATAATCATTATTCTTTAAATATCATAATAGAAATAATTAAGCCTGAGATCGTTCAATCGCTGCGGGCTTCATCGTGCGCGGGCGCATGATTGATAACTCGACTGCCATCTCGCTTTAGCTTACCCATTCTAGTATATTCCATCTCTGTTTCTCATTAATTGATCCACCTTGTAAATGGCGCCGTTGTCGTTAGATAGATATCGAATCGTGTTCGTCAAATCGATAGTTATTGTTTGTAGGGGCGTCGGCGTTATCGATTTTAATCGAATTAGTGATAAATAAATTTAGTGTTTATTTTCGTGGGTTTGATTTTATTTTACTATTTTCAACTATTTTCTACAATATTTCAAGTAAGATGGTCACCAAAATAACTTGTTACATATTACAAAAACAGACTTTAAAATATTTCACAAGTCAATGACCTTGTTAAGTTTAGATAGATCGCGTAAATAATTTTAGTCCGGGTACTACCTAATTAGAACTAAAATGCATGTGAGATCGGCCTTCTACAACTACAAACCTTGATCAAAAGTATTATCGTCACCTCATTATCTAGCTCTCATTCTAGCTCTTTGACTTTGATTACAGAATAATGTAGTTCCGGTTTCTACAACCCATAGACACAGCCCACTGAGTTTCTGGCTGGATCTTCTCTGTGGGTCGCGTTATCCGGTGGTAGATTCTGCGAAGCACTGTTCTTGTTAGGGCCAGTGTTAGCAACACCTCCGGTGTGAGCCCCGAGAGCTCACCTACACGCTAGAGTAACGCTGATATAGCCTCTCAAGGCTAGGAGGAAAAAAAACGGATTTTTCCGGATCCGGTGGTAGATTCAGCGACGGACTTTTTTTATTGCTTAGATGGATGGACTAGCTCACAGCCCACCTGGTGTTATGTGGTTTTGGAGCTCATAGATATCTACAACGTAAATGCGCCACTCACCTTGAGATAGAAGTTCTAAGCTATCAAGAATAGTTACAGCTGCTGCAACACTCTTCAAACGCAGTATGCTTCACGGCAGAAATAGGCAGTGGTACCTACCCACGCGGACTCACAAGAAGTCCTACCACCAGTTAACAGGTTAAATAAAAAAGTTTCTGCAGCCAAGCATTTATGCGTTACTCTTTAGAAGATACGATAGCTGATATTCCAATAGAATTCTTCGTGTTGTCAGTCTCGTCTAAATTTGTCTAATGCACTGTACCGATTCGAATTGAAACCATTCTCGTTCCTAGTGGAGCAGTTAACTAAAAGTTGAAATCGTTAGAATTAATTGATTCGACCCCGTCTTAATATCTCGTACGTCGGTCATCAGAACATCGTATTAATAATGTTTTATCATTTATTATTAAGGCCGTGAGTAATGAAAGTTTGTCGGATACGCCCCTCAAGCCCCGCACTCTGTCTTCGTCTGGATACAAGGAAATAAATTAAATACGTTGGTTCTAAACTTTTTATTGACCTCGGATGTTCGGTATTTAAAAGTGACAAAACGTTTAATAAGCTCTTTATATTCAAATGCACATACGTTATTGATTGTTAAATTGTTTATATATATATTTTAATTGCATATAAGGGTAAATGATGTCACTTACGTGTTATAGTAAATAGACTTCAAAAGGTACCCACATTGAGAGGTGAGGTGTCTCAAATGTATTAGTATTATGGTTCGCGGTGATTCCCAAGACTCCTTGCTACAAATAATTCTGATTGTATTGCGTAGCTGCGGTAGTAAAGACATTAGTTTCCCTAAATTTCATGTTTCAGATTAACTGGATTCAGGAGTTAGTCGGTTTTTACTTATTTAATAGATTAGTCTAGATAGGAAATAGAAAGGATATCGAACATCTTGAGATAGTTTCCGAAGCGTCAATTTTATTTGAATAAAAAAAAGAAAGGTGTCCCAAAGTTCAAACCAAAAGTATTCGTGCATGGTGGGAAGTGGACGGTGGTAGGTATAAACCCTGTCGAGATTACAACCTCACGGACAAACACAATTTAACTACATTTTATTATTTATGTTTGGTGAATTTATGAATTTTGACTATGGCGACTATCACCTAATAAGTACTATTCACAAATTATCTGGAGGGCAACTATAGTAGATAAAACAGTTTTGTTTTGTAGGCAAATTCTTGTAGACAATTTTATGCCTTAATCCGTAATTACTTTTTAATCTAAAATTCCGAATATAGGAATCAAAGATTTAACCGATTACCCGTGTAAGAGTGCAGTGTGATGATGTTACCGCGTGATCGCCTCGTTAGCAACTGATTGATCGGCCATCGGCCCGTTAACACGTACAGGGTGTTGTTTTTTTTAATAGATATTTTTCTTTTGCTATTTGTTTTTGGAACGAAGTTCATTATCGCGCGTTGTGAAAGGGGGCTAGACGGAAAAAATTGTTACGAAAAGTTGTCACGACACTTTTTAGATCCGTCATTCTGACCAATCAACGTGTAGGCGCTTATCGCGTGACATTGCTCGTATCCGATTGGTCCGAATGTAGGTACCGAATGAGTACAGTTTCTCGAGATAGCGTTTCAACAATAGTAATTTAGTTCATAGTATTGTTTTTTTCTTCTTTATAATGCCGTAATTTATTATTATAACTTAAAAAAAAAATTACAATTCCTTCACTAATTAATCGAAAGGAACTTTGTTCCATCCGGGTGTCCCTTGACACCTCTGAAGTTTTTTATAATAAAATTGTTCATCGTTTTCCATGGAAACACATGTGTGTTTGTTTGATAGGTTGTATATTTGCTAGTTTCAGAGCAATAACTATCGTGTTGATGTTTCCGTGTTGACTTTCCCAGTTTACATCTCTTTACAATAACCGGAGCCAGATTTGTTACAATTACTATTTATTGTGTTCCATCTTCTTGATTTTATTCTCTCGGTATTGCCAGTTTCGATTACATAATATTTAAAAAAACAATGCNATGTGTGTTTGTTTGATAGGTTGTATATTTGCTAGTTTCAGAGCAATAACTATCGTGTTGATGTTTCCGTGTTGACTTTCCCAGTTTACATCTCTTTACAATAACCGGAGCCAGATTTGTTACAATTACTATTTATTGTGTTCCATCTTCTTGATTTTATTCTCTCGGTATTGCCAGTTTCGATTACATAATATTTAAAAAAACAATGCGAATGTATGTTATAGAAATCAGGTTACTAATGAAAAACATCACCATGTACATCTCATCTATTGTT